CGGTCCAGCCACTACCACGTGCCATAAGCCAGAGCAGTGCAATGTGTGAGGCTGTGTGAACAGACAGCAGTGAGTACAGTTCCCTTCCACCTTCCTCCTCCTTCCCCCTTGGGAAATCCTCTGATGCACTCATTGTTAGACATTTTCTAAGAAGTCTGAAAATCTGTTGTCTTTCTGCTTTAAATTTCACACTTATATAACAAATTCTGCAGAATAATCTAAAAAATATAAAATAAAATTATAATGAAATATATCGAAATGCTGAAAAGTAGAGGTCACTTTAGGAGTGAAACAGGAAGGTAATCAGAAGTATTTTAATTTCCTAATTAAAACCAGTATTATCGCTCCTTTAAATATACTCCGTGGTGAGTATCTGTAAATAAAATCTTTACTTACTCTGTGTCCCAAAAGTCAATCAGAATATGTACATATCAACAAATCAGTAGAAATGTATGTTACCAGCTTAAATTACAACATGCTTCTTACACTGGTGAAGTATTATAAACTCCCAGCTATGATGGATGTGAGGAGTTCTGTGTGCCTGCACAAATTCTCTCTGACTTCAGGCAGGTTGTTAGATTTTTAGCTCATGGATATTCAGAAAACCAGCAAAAGGAGGCCTATAAAATTTGCCTAGCTTTTTTAAAACTGAAAGCAAAAAAAATTAAGTACCAGAATAATACAAGAATTGCATATTTTTTCCATCACTGTAAGCAAACATATATATAAGTAGTTACAGTACCTTCTGCTTTTGGAGTGGTGATAATTCTAAGGACCAGTCACCAGGATTCAATTTCATTGCATGTGTCTGCAAAAAATAAGATCTCCATTAAAAATAAATACAACTTAGAGGGAAAGCAGCATCAAAGCTCAGTTATACTAAACAGAGCTATTTTATGAACATTTTAATATTGTTGTATGGTCAGGCTGAGAAATCTGTAAGATCATTTCACTTTTTTCAAATTTACTGTTTCATTCTGATGTTTTAAAATTGATTCATGATAGGCAGCAAACCAAAAAGGAGAAGGAAGCCTAGCACATGAAGTGTGTGATATGTCAATAATGCCTCAGAAAATTAATGAAGGCCATCATGGGCACTGTATCTGAAAACATGTTTTTTCTTGCAAGTGAAAGCAAAGTTTTACAACTATTAAATAAATGGCATGCACGAAGTGGCTGTTAAATGACTAAGTACTTTTGAGGACAAAGAAACAATGATTCCTGTAAAATGTGCAATCTCTTCAGCATAACTGACAACATCCTCTGAGCTAAATCCACAGAGAGTTTGCATTCCACTGAATTTTTTTTTCTCTTTCCAGTGCACTGCATTAAAGCCAGGACATGTCCTTTCTGCTGAGAGACAAATGTTTTGTGAAGGTGTACAAGCAATAAGGTGAGCATGGTTTTTAAATAAAAGACATATGTAGGAACAAGTTTGGGGATTGGCAAATACTCAGAATGTTTGCATTTTGGTCTTCTCTTTAATATGATCCACCTGTACTAAAAACCCTCTTTCAAAACAGGAAAAGATAGCTCTTCTGCCTCATTGCCTGCAATTGTCTCCTGGAAATCATCAAGAAAGCAAGGTGAAAGGATACCCTGTGGTATCCAGCATCCTTCTCTTTCTGTCAGGCAGAGCTAAACCATGGGGAGTGGCTGCGTTTCTTGGACTGCTTCAATCTCATGTTACAACAGTACTCAGAAAGTTAAAACATATTTTGGCATTGGATGATGGTATGAAATGTGCCCTCATTTAACAGCACGTCAGTGCTTCTTGGTGTCACACAGAATGTTCTGGGCTAGTCACGAGCTCTGTACTAGACCATGAAACATGACTCAACTTCTTTGTCTTCCCCTGCACAAAAATGACTAAACTACAGGTTCAAACTGAAGGAAAGAAAGTCTAGGTTGGATGTGAGAAAAAGTGTTTTACTGTAAGGGTAGTGAGACACTGGCCCAGGTTGCCCAAGGAGGCACCAGAAGCCCCAACCCTGGTGGTGTTCAATCCAGGCTGGATGAGACTTGAGCAACCTGATCGAGTGAGGAGATGTCTCTCTCCAGGGCAGGGGTTGGGACTGGATGATCTGTAAGGTCCATTCCAACCCTTAAATTCTATGATTCTACGATTATTGGAATATATTACCATATTTAGAATGTCAGTTGTATCTCCAAGGTTTCTGTCCATATTTTCATTATCTGAGTCTTCTTCTGCAGAGACTTCACCAGCTTCATCTTTTTGATGATTATTTTCTGCAAGGCAGAATAGGGGGAAATAAATACATGCCATAGGAACAAGCAGTATGTAGAAAATAGAACAGCCTATGCTTTATTAAATAGAGATTGTGTCTATTTTACTGACAATGAACTGAAACACTTCCTTTTCATCAGTATTAACATCAGGGGTAGCTCAGCAGTCTGGTCTCAGTGCATGACCATTTCTGCAGACTTTCAAAGCATTAATATTACATGAGACAAAGATTCTTCTGCCTAATCTCTTTAATAGTAGTGCAACAATTAGACCAAATTAGCTGCAGCCATGTTATCCACATTGCACATTATCTGTGTAATGGATGGAGACACAGGGAGTTTAACTCCAAGGCAGCACCATGAAAATGTGCCTATGTAATTTGCTGCTTGGCCTCAAATTCATCAGGTATGTGACCATATGACACAAAACCTGAGGTTTTAGGGCTAAAAAAAATCTAACGCAATTCAAATTTTACTGTATTGCTTTCCTGGAACTGGAAATGCCAATGGACATGTTGGCAGCTTTGCAAATAATCATCTTAATTCTAACTAAATTAATTACCTTCAAATTCGATCTGACTATCCAACAAATCTGAGCTAATTTTTACACAGATGCACTGCATCCTGCACTCTTCAGCAATTCTCCTCCCAGCAAATCACACATGCCCAGGAACCCAGAGGAAGTTCAGAACTGCTCTAGACAATCTGTGCAAAATTCCAGAGCTGTATCACTGTTTTTCTTTCACTCAACCCTCCTTGAAAACTTTCAGCATGTTTTCCAAACATGAACAGTGTCAGGCAATTCCTTGTATGCATTTTGTGTCTCCATGCTGCCAGACACTCCTGAGGTAAGACTGAACTCAAACCTTCTTTCATGTTCAAAGTGAGCATTTGTTTATGAATAACAAGAGCCAAACCACACTTAGCAAAAAACAGATGTGAGGACACTTCACCTTTTTCGTGGTCTCTGCCCATCACAGATTCAGCTTTAGGAAGACTTGTTGAAGAAAAACAGAAGGGGCTAGTGTTGCTAGTCACAGGCAATGAAGACTTTAAGAAGCTTTCTCCCAGTGCAGGCAGAGTTTGTGCCATTCGAGCAAACTGTCCTGGGGACCTTTCCTTTAAAAGATTCAAAAATACATTGAGAATAAAATCAGAAGAACAAAATCTAAGCAATCTCTCACCCTCGACAGTGGCATTTACTTAGAGTTGATGATACAGTGTTGCCACTTTGTACACAGAGCAGAAATAAGTATCTTTAACACTTTAATTATTTATAGTCCTGAAAAGTGGGCAGGTATATAGTGGGACTTTTTTTAGATCATTTTTTTACGCAATAACTTCAAGCGGGCTTAAAATATAGACAAAGGAGAAAAAGAACTTAGATTTTTATTAAAAATGAAAAACTAATCTCTCAAATAACACTGAGCTGTTTAATCCACATCAATATAATTTTACAAAATGAATGCAGCTTTTGCTAGGGTTAGTTTTCAGACAGATAAGGTGAAATAATCCAACTCATTGTGCTGTTTAAGGAAATCACATGGAATGTGTAGTGGAGATAAAGGAGAAGAAACTACTATTTTAAGTAGCTACAGGATCTCAGGGTATGTTAAGATGATTGTAAAATGTTCTCCTTTGATCTTTTATAGACTATGAACTTGCTTAATATACTCAAGGGCCCAGAGGGAACAGCAAAAGAGTCAAGATCTTGTTGTTTTGAAAAAATATTTCTAAGATAATTTAAAAAATGCAAAGGAATGGGTTCTACATTTTAGAACACAAAAAAACCCCAAACCCCACAAAACCAATTTTAATATTTTTTCACAGAAATAAACATGCAAAATGTGACCAATACCTATCTTTTACCTGCATCAATTTTGGGGAAAAAGGTAAATATTGATTCTTCATTTTATACATTAAGATTAAACTCTTATTTCAAGAAGGCATATTTATCACTGGGTATAGGTTGAGATTACAAGAGCATGTAGTGACAGGACAAGATGGAATGGCTTCAAACTAAAATAGAATAGGTTTAGAATAGGTATTAGGAAAAATTCTTTAGTGTGTGGGTGCTGAGGCACTGGCACAGGTTGTCCAGAGGAGCTGTGGATGCTCCATCCCTGGGAGTGTTCCAGGCCAGGCTGGATGGGTGTCCCTGTCCACAGCAGGGAATTGGAAGTAGATGATATTTAAGGTCCCTTCCAACCCATTCCATGATTTTAGCTTTAAAAGTGATTTTGTTTCGTAAAAGAAACATGGCAACTCTAAATATCTTCACATTTACCCTCTCCCGACGTCGTATTCGTGCTGCCGAGAGCTGTAAGGTGTTTGCTAGTACAAACTCTCCAGTTATTTTAGGGACAGTAGAAGTCAAACCTCTCTCATACAAATCTTCTAAGAGTACTTCTTCAGATCCTTTAGGTCTTGGAGCAGCAAAAACTAGCATGTGACAACCACCACAAGCAACCTACAGCTCAAAAAAAGTCTGATTATTTCATTTGCAGGTATCAACACAAGGATGTTATTTTTTTACAATCATCTCTAGGGGCTTAGATTATAAGAAAAATGTAATAAAGGTAAGACATATCAAATTGACTGAAGTTTTGTTCCTAATTACATCAGCAAGAGAAAAGTATTTCATTTATTAATGACAAGTGATTTATGTCCACTTCTTCTTAGTTAAATACAATGCATTTATATTGAACAGAACAGGTCTATCAAATTATTGATACAGAAGATAGTAAGATCTTTTCACTGATTTTCAAGAGTTTAGAGCTAGATATTTTGATACAGGTCAAACGTGGGCAATACTGGTAGTTTCAGTGACACAAACCAAAATGTTTTATCACAAAATCCACAAAATAAAGATTGGATTTCTAACAAATTTAAAACCCTCACCACTTCTGATTCAGCTTCTTTAAACTCCAATTCCAGTAAACAAACAGAAGTGATCCAAATTTTGTCCCAAAATTTTGTCCCAAGTTTTGCTCAGTCCTGACTCATGTCATGTCATGGTACTGACAATTCTGTGACATTTGTATCTTCTACACCTCAAGGAATAGATGAAAACAATTCCCTTACACAACTCTTGAAAAAAAAAGAAGAGCATTTCTGCTTTCTCATCCCATTTGGAATCAAAAAAGCAACACCTCAAATTTTCAAGGGTTTAAAACCTGCACAAAAATTGTCAGGATTGAAAAGACGACACAAACATGATGATGTTTCTAGAACACCAGATATTAATTTCCCCTGACTTCCAATAATCCAAGAGCAGTAAGTATTTCATTTTATAGGTTACCACAGCTTTATAGACCAAAACAGCATAGCACAAAATACTGAATAAAACCCTCCAAAGCAGCCTGTACGTGCAGTCCAAGCCAAAGACATTCTAAACTAAATGAACACTGTGGTAAGCACATATAATTTCCTCTTCCCTTCAGTTTGTGTTGCCCACTAATTAAATCTTACAGAAATAAATAATTCTGTAGCAAGATTTCAACTCTCATTAACAATGTGTTTCATAAAAAGATAAATATTTTGGTGACTGAGAAGCACGAACAAAAGTTTTACCAAAAGGACTGTAAACTTCAAGAAATTGTAACACAGAGTGGGATCAAACAGATTGCTAAAACTCTCTTCTCCAAAGCCTAACTTGCCATGTCGTCCATCTCCAAAAGTAAACATGAGGCCATTCTCTGCATGTGGAAAAAAAAGTATGTTGTAACAAAGATTCAATACAAAACCAGGACAGAACCATCACAAACAAAGTAACAGGACATGCAAGTAAAAAATACTTCTCTTCCAAAAGCAAAACCTGAACGACTATTTTTAAATTTTCAACAGATGATTCTGATTTTAAAAATGCCTATTTTCAGGCAAAATACTGTCTGAGATGTGAGTTAGTCTAAACAATTTGTAAAAAAAACCCCAAAAACCAAAACACCCCAACAAAATAATTAAACTGCCTTTAAACAAAGTCTTCTGAAGAAGACTATTTTTTAGCAAGGCATGATTATGAGGTTCTAATTCCCCAGGAGATACAGGGTACAGAGCTATGCATGGCATGGCTGTGAATCAGAATTGCCTGGCAAATCCAGCTTCCTCCCCAGCTCACTCAGCCTTCAGAACCAGCACATTTGTATGTCTTCTGCTACTGCTCATTTTATAACAAAAGCTATTACAGTATAATAGAGAAAGTAGAAATTAATTTCAGCATTTTTGACTTACATACCTGCTATTACAGCAGTATGATTTTCCCCACATGCAACATTACGTATTTTATGCCTCTTCAAGTGTTTCACAGACTTTGGTACTGAACTTTCAAAAACAAAAGTCCCATGTCCCAGCTGCCCATATTGTCCAAGTCCAAAAGTATAAACATCTGTCTCTGAAATTAGATAGGCAAAGTTAACAACAAATATGCTGACACACATAAAGTTATACAATAGCCAAATGGAAGTTAACTAACATCAATTAGTAACAACATCCAACAAAATAAAAACCAGAATCGAAGCACTAAAATATACAGAGAAAAGAATTCTGAATGGTTCAATATGCAACAAATTTTCTAACATAACTGCAAAATAACCCACTGATCACATGGGTTAGGGTTAGGGTTTGGGTTAGGGTACAGAGAGTATCAGTTAACAACAGATATATGGGAATTCACATACTGCAATCAATTCAAGACCACACAACTTACAAGTATGTGCATTTTCAAGCACAACAGAATCACAGAACCATAGAATTTAAAGGTTGGAATGGACCTTACAGGTCACCCAGCCCCAACCCCTGCCCTGGGCAGGGACACCTCCTCACTAGATCAGGTTGCTCAAGGCTCATCCAGCCTGGCCTTGAACACTGCCAGGGTTGGGGCAGCCACTACATCCCTGGGCAACCTGTTTCAATGTCTCACCATCCTCAGAGTAAAAAACTTTTTTCTCACATCTAATCTAAACTTACTTCCTTCAGTTTGAACCCATTACCCCTTGTCCTATCACTGCAGTTCCTAACACAGAGTCCCTCTCCAGCTCCCTGTAGGCCCTTCAGATATTGAAAAGTTGCTCTGAGGTCTCCACACAACCTTCTCTTCTCCAGGCTGAACAGCCCCAACTCTCTCAGCCTGTCTTCAAAGGGAAGGAGCTCCAGTGCTCTTACCAACTTCGTGGCCTCCTCTGGACTTGCTCCAGCAGTTCCACATCCTTCTTATGTTGAGGACACCAGAATTGCACACAGTATTCCAGGTGGGTCTCACGAGAGCAGAGTAGAGAGGAAGAATCACCTCTTTTGACCTGCTGCCCACACTCCTTTTGCTGCAGCCCAGGATTCCACTGGTTTATGGGCTGCTAGTGCACACTACAGCTCATGATGTGCTGCTCATCTACTGTCACTCCCAAGCCTGTCTCCTCACTGCTGGTGTCAATTACTTTACCCCCTTGTTACCTGCACGTACACTGTATGGCCCTAAATTTAATAGACAAGACCTCTTTAAACCAATGCTAATTTATATGTAAGAGACTGAACAGGAACAGGGTAGGTTTCAGTATTCTGCTCAGCTGCCAAAGCAGCCCTGCACTAACTACAGAGAACACTATAATTGTGTTATCTTGTGACAGAATAATCATCTTTCCACATTTATATTCTGTCTGGTTAATGGACTGTCTGTGCCAGGAAAAAGAATAAGAGCTTCTCCAAAGCTGTAAAGATCCTTGATGTGTTCATCCCTGGCATTCCAACACAACGCTGGAAGACTGTGAAGCTTGGAAATCTTGATGAGGTCATACTTGAAAAGAGAAAGTCAAAGACTAAGTTTCTTTGGAAAAAAAGAGATTTTCCTAGAATTTTACTCCTTGCCTGTTTTTCTTTTGCATGTAGGCAACAAAGGAAAAGTTAGAGAAGTACTACTTATAGTACTTGAAAAACTATTGTGAAAACCCAGGAAAGATTGGGAAGGACAAAAAACATCAAACAAAAAGAACTTGGGAGCAATATATCTTTACATCATTGTTAAGAACATGGTGCAGAGCATGTCCTCTCCTGCTGCACAAATGCCATTGGGTTAAAAATCTCACAATTTTCAAAGGCAAGAGAGGAACAGCCATCCACAGTGGAATGTGTGGAGCACCAAACAACAGAGATTCTTTGCTTTTTGAGAACTTCTTTGTGGCCACTGGAATAGCAAGGTAAGTTTCAGTGACACAAAAGGAGTTCACACTGTGTGACCAAATTCTCAGAACAGCCACAAACTGGAGAAATATTAAAACTCATTT